CCTGTTAATACATTTAATAATGGGATCCTATAACACTTCGTGTGTTGTTATTTATTATCATATTTTAGTATGATTCTACTTTTTTCAGTCTTATCATTCTTATATAATTATATCTGATATTGGTCTGTAATTTTCGTGTAACTATCTTTGACTACATCAAAATAATTTTCCTAAATATACATCATGTTTAATGAGAAGAATCATCTAAATTTTCCACGTTCCATGATTAGTATAATTAGCCTAATTTTGAATTTCATTTATGTCATATGTAATCACAGTGATATTTAAACTGAATGGAATATCATTAATTGTATTGAATTGTGAAACGCTAGTTATATGCAGCAGAAACATTAAATGAAGAATATGAATGTCGCACATAATATTTAAACTTATACAATTAATGTAATAATTAGTTTAGTTATAATTAATTCAATGCAGTAAGCGGATGTTGTAAAAAAATCTGTAATATAATTTAATTATCAATTATACAGTTACGTTGAAAAATTAATAGCAAAAAATTTGGCAATAAGAAAAAGATAAATAAAAACTTAATCCACAGTTGAAGTATTTTCATCCATATCTAATAATATATTATTATAATTATTAATTGAAAACAAAATTATAATTTAATTGCAAACAATATATAGCGAGATTTTTATAAGACTTAAAAATTATCGGTTTCATTTCTATTAAAATGTAATAGTGATGTTATATTTTAATTAGATCAGACAGTATTAATTTTATGATATTAGACAAGGAATTTCTTCAGACCATAAATGTAATCACACAACAAGTATAGAATAAAACCTTTAACGGTTAAGCTGAATCATTTCGGCGCGCAGTTTAAAGGACTACATATATAGTATTTATAAAATTGACGAATAATCTTAATATTAAAAACAGTTTGATCGTTAAAAGCTTTATTCCATACTTGTTATTAATTTTATAATTATTTTAATATTTTATCATATATATTATGCGATAATTTTTCTTCTGTTTCTGTATAATCATTTTTCAAATTATTTATTTGTTTTTGAATCATTGCTTTTCTTTTTTTGGCAAAATTTCGGTAATGGTGTGCATAATATTTATTTATTATTGCTAAAATATTCTTTTATTTATTAAAATCGTTTACATAAATCTAAATTGTTAATATAACGTATTTATTACAAAATATGTTAATATTACATTTACAAATCAAATCAAATGGAATATTTCATAAAAATAATTATTGATTGTAAAAATTATTATATATTTATAATTATATTAGGTTGTTCGGAAAGTAATTTCGTTTTTTCTTATGAAAATGAAAGACGATTTTCAATCAGACGCGTTTCAAATGATCATGAACGGTCGAATTCGATAAATTTAATCTCTCAGCGATCTCACGAGTTGTTATTCGCCGGTTTGCATCAATTAATGCCTTTATTATGTCTTCATCAGCTTCAACTGGCCTTCCAGAATGTGGTGCATCTTCAACATCAAAATTGCCGGATCGAAATTTTGCAAACCCGTTTTGGCACTGGCGTTCTGTCAATACATCTTCTCCATACACATCGGATAATTTTTTTCTTGCTTGAACAGCATTTTTACCTTTTCGATAGTAAAAAAATAAAATATGCTGAAAATGCTGCTTTTCACTTTCATATTTGATAGGGCACCAACCCAAAACTACTGCGTAGAATCAATCGAACTTTTTTCACAAGCAAGCCTTGCTATCAGCTGTCAAAATATATAATGATTATGCGGCTTAAGTGTGAAGTTGGCTGTGAAAAATATAATTAAGTCCTCTGTTGAGAAAAAACGAAATTACTTTCCGAACAACCCAATCGTAGTTAACATTAAGAGTTCATCGAAAATTGAATATGTACTGTAATACGTAAGTAATTCCCAAGTTTTAAGCAAGCTAAATCCATGGTAATTATTGCTGATATTAGAAAAGCCGATTCGTCTAATTTTTGTTTGAAAGAATAACAATGCTTTATCACATACAGTATGTCGCAGTGAGCGATTGTCAAACTTTCCGCAAGCAGAGCAACAATGATATTTCCCGTGTGTGTGTATGTTCACTTACCACTACTATCTTAGATTATGATGTTAGAAGCGAAAAAACATACAATAAAAATTTTTGCAAATTATATTTGAATAAAAATCTTTTTCAGTAAAACAACATTTATAATCAATATAGGATAGACTTAGAGAATATACCGAAAACTATCTTGTTTCGGGGAGAAATTAAATT